TACCCAGATATTTGTTGTTTTTGATTTTGGGGTGATTGAAATGAACTCTATGTTATTTACCATACTTCTCGGCGCGAAACCAATATTTGTCTTCGATTTTGACATTTTATGATCGAAACATATCATTAAAAATTGGTGGGCTGATTTGTTATTTGTCACACCGCATTTTATTAATGTTAAATTGAGCGACTTTTATGGATGCTTTTTAGATCGTAAATGCAAATGGTGACGTTTTGAAATGACAATGTACTCAATTCTGTGCTAAAAAAATCATTTATATACAAACATTGAAGCATTGTTGTATACTTTTGCATAGAATAAAGTCATTAGTTGTTGTACAGTTGACTCGAACTGTTATGAACCCCCAAGAATCAGAAATATCACAGGTTTTTCGATCAATCACGTTAACATGAATGACGCCATTTTGACAAGATTTGTTTAGCGATGTCAGCATGTTGGCACACAAAGTTTTTTTCCCTATTAAAACTAGAAAATGAACATAATTCCCGATATTAATCTTTACATTGTAGGAACTGGATGTTTATGAGTTGATAGGCTGGTTTTGATGTGCATCACCGTTAAAAAAAAAAAATTTCATAGTGATAATTTTGTTTACATGTTTGTTTACGTTGTGGTTGCCCGAATTTAAAGTCAAAGTGAAGTCATACAATGAGGTATCGCTTTGCATGACGGTAAATTTACCAATTTTAATGAATATTTTGACGGTATTCTAATCTGTCTAACTTCCTGACTCCCTCGGCCCGGGTGTGAACATTTTGTTTACCCGCACCGTGGTTTGAGACAAAAGAACGCTAGTTTGCAATATACAGGGTCAGGGCCTGGTTTATAGTCATTGGTGAACACAATATACACAGTCAGGGCCTGGTTTATAGTCATTGGTGAACACAATATACAGGGTCAGGGCCTCATTTATAGTCATTGGTAACATAGTATACAGGGTGAGGACCTGATCTACTGTCATTCGTGAACAAAATATACAGGGTAAGGGCCCAATCTACTGTCATTGGTGAATACAGGCTCTGGGGCTAATCTGTAGTTGTTGTGATTTTCACAAGTCAGGAAAAATGGCAAAATTTTGTAGCCATGTAAGCTTGCCCCCTGTGAAGGCTCCAAAATTGTCAAACTGCAAATGTTGATTGCAGCAAAAATATATTTGTTTACTGTATATAAAACATTCTTGCTGTTTTCAGACGTAGGTCTCTGTAAACAATTTTTTTTTTATTTAAGATATCAATTATGCTATATGTTAATACATGTACAACTAATGTATGCGACTGTGTCTGGTTAACATCACGAAAACCCATTAAATTGCAGTGTTTATTGTGATAGAAAGATAATGTGGTATCAGTTAAATGTACCAACAATACTTGAAGCAGTGATATTCAATGTCCTAAACTGGTGGATACATATACAAATAAATCTAATTTAACTTGATGGCTTCTTTGTAGGCTGGTGAGTTAGAACAAGCAGATATGGAGATATTACTATCATTACAAGGTATTGGCATGTCCTTAGTAAACAATCAAACTGGTAGTGAGATACTTTATATGGGAATAACAAGGTAAGAAGTATTTTTTATTTCACTGCTTTCATCGTTGGTGTTCACATATAATAATTTCTCATTGTAACATCAACAGTATGACTACATGTACTGCAATTAAACTTTTTACCAACAGTTCTTTTTTTTCATCACAGATTCGCAAAATACTGTAGAACACGTATCTGCCTGCAATTTTAGTGCATTTGACTGTTGGCATGAATTAACAGAATCTTAATTTAGCTAAAGTGTTGATTATCTCCCTGTGAGAATATATTCTTTCTGTTAAATTAGCTACATCTTGAATTATCAAAATTACAGATGAGCTAAATTAGCTAAAATAACATGCTAGCTAAAAGAACATGTTTTACAGTCGTCCCGTTTATAGTCTGCACTTTTCTTCAGAAGATTAGGACAAACATTTTTGAGTAGAAGCTGATAATTGACTCTAATTTTGCTTTGTTGGCTCCAGAAATATTGAAGTACATGTATATATAAGGAAAAAGTGCAGAAAAATTTGGGCAAGAAAGTCTGGTGATGAAAAGGTTAAACACTCCATAGACAACAGTGTAAACAATTTCAAACTGATGAGCAGGACTTCTTTTCACACATTAATCTATTCACCCACACTAGTACTTTCAATATTTCATACACGAGTCTGCCATGTCATGACATGACTAGTACTTATTATGTTGTTACTAGCAGTAATATTACAATTGGACTATACAGTCTAAACATTTTATATTTTTGCCTCGATTCCAGCTCTGGTATAATGTGGGAATTCCAGAAAAGGCGAAGATGGAAATCTCTTACAAATAAACAGAATCAAATATTGGAAACTGCTTTCCAGAACTTGCAGACACAGTTAGCAGTCGGTAAAGTAGTGGCTCAAGGTCCACAGACACTTGAAGGCAACCTAGAGGTATATTTTAACATGCATACCATATAATGAATATGAACTAGAAAGAAAACCATCCAGAAATGTTCATTAAATAGTATTACATGTAGAGTCTTTTGTTGGAACACTGATAATCACTTGAAATCAATGTGGGTTCGCCATAGCTAGGCATTAGTGGATTAGCATCAAGTGGTATATATTCTACAGGCTATGGTACATATGTATACCACACCAGGCATTCATGATATTGTTTCATTATATCATCATGTCGAAATCTACATACGGTCACTTGACAAGGCTAGTTAGGAATAGTGTATGTATAATGGCTATCAAGAGCACCACTCTGATTCCAATGATATGTTTCGTCATTTAGGTTGACTTTTTCGCGATGAAGATGTTGAAACCCAACAAGCGTAAAATACGCAGGACGTACGCGCCAGGTATCTGGGCTTCGTACAAGGCATCCGAACATCAATTACAGCTACATGCCAAGATTAACAGGCTACAGATTGATAACCAGCTGCCAGCGTCTGTCTTTCCAACTGTACTTGCTCCAGTACCACCACCAAAGTCTGTTTCTGCTGAAAGTGGTAAGTGTTGTGACTGTTCGGCCTTGTGTTGTGATTGTCTTGTTTCATGTATGTGTTCTTCTATGTGTTTTGATACACTGTGATATGAGCAATTAATTTTTCTATTGCATTGAATATACCAGATGATAAAATAACATAATTATATTCTCTAACAAATATAAGTTTTTGCCGTCACATTAAGTATTAGTCTCAGTTAGACAAAGTGGGTCCTACTACTGCCAGCCAGTTGAATTAAATAATGATGGTATCACCGACTAAGTGGACAGCATCTTTGTGGATTGTGAGTAGTGTACATAAAAATCTTCTCAATTTTTTAGCAGAATACACAGGCTGGAATTTTTGAGCTTATAGTCAGTCATTGGTTAATGCTTTCACTAGTTTGCCATTAATTTAGCTGGTTGTGAGTATTGTCTGTGTTTGACAGTTTCATCAACCCATTCAGTGAAAGTTTTTAAAAAGTTTCTTACGTTATTCAGTTGTCAATTTCAAGGTTGCTATTGTGATCACTACTGCATCTGGTGAGTGATAAAATTATTTCTTAATTCTGGGGGGTCAGCTAACTGGCAGTAGTAAGACCCACTTTGTCTTGAACAAATATCCAATTTAAACAAAAACTGGTAGTGTAAGTAATTGGAGTGACAAGGGTGCTTGCCAGAGCAGCCTTTCTATGTTAGTAATTGTTATGTATGTTTCTTTCCTGTACCAGAACCAAAGCCATTTATAGAACTGAGTAATATGACCAGATATGGCCAACACACACAAATAAAACAGGTGAAATACTTCAAGCTACTGATCCAAGAAATGCATGCTAAGGTTGACCAAGGATTCCTGAATGCATTAATGTTAATGTTTGAAAGTGAAGAACCAACACCTGAACAGGAGGTGAGTAAACTTGAATTACGACAATGAGACAGATAGTCTGGACAAGATTGTGTACCAGGCTGCCTTGCAATGAACTGATTGAATCACTTTGTCCTAGGCAGGATGGGGAATTTGTGATTGTATCATATGCCAGGCTAGTCTGGTATTCAACTGATTGAGAAGATATGTGTTAGACTGTCTGGACAGGATAGGGTATGCTTTGGTATATGACTGTATTGTGTACCAGACTGCCTCGTAATGAACTGATTGAATTATTATGCCCTGGACTGTCTGGACAGGATGGGGTATGCTTGGGTATGTGACTGTATTGTGTATCAGACTACCTCGTAATGAACTGATTGAATTATTATGTCCCGGACTGTCTGGAGAGGATGGGAAATATGTAACTGTATGTATCATATGCCAGGCTAGTTTGTTATTCAGCTGATTGAGAAGATATGTGTTGGACTGTCTGGACAGGATGGGGAATGCTTTGGTATGTGACTGTATTGTGTACCAGACTGCCTCGTAATGAACTGATTGAATTATTATGCCCTGGACTGTCTGGGAGGATGAGGAATATTTAACTGTATCATATGCCAGACGAGTCTGGTAATAAACTGATTGAGAAAATATGTGCTGGACTGTCTGGACAGGATGGTGGTATGCTTGGCTATGTGACTGTATCATGTACCAGACTGCCTACCAGTAGTATTGAAGTGAGTGAATAGATATGTGTTGGACTGTCTGGACAGGATGGGGTATGCTTGGCTATGTAACTGTATCATATGCCAGACTAGTCTGGTAATCAACTGATAGAGAAGATATGTCTATACATGTATCAGTTTAATGGAATATTACCTAATATAGACATCAGTTAGTCAGTATATAAATACTGTAAAAGTAAAGCTGTAAATCTTGAAATATCGTTATATATTGGGTGTGAAACAATGTACTGTAATATGCAATGGAATGCTAAGTTTCATGTAATTTTTTCTTTAGTTGGAGTATTTTGAGGTTGATGTAGAGAAGACAGCTAGTAAGTTGAAAGATAGTCAAGAAGTGCAAACAGTTATGGGAGAAGATAGAAACTTTTATGACAATCTACATTTGTCTCCTATCAAGGTAAAGACAACCTCAATAACATCAGATAACTTACATGTATTGTCTTAGTTCGAAGTTAACAGACACAAGGTTTGTATCGAACTGATGCTAGAGAAGTGTCTGCTGACATCAAACTAAGAGAGAAAATTGTGTGGAATTGCTTATCCAGAAAAAGGTTATAGATATTTTCTAAATATATATCACATTAAATAAGTGCCTGCTAAACATTTATTACTTGTATTACACATGAACACATACACTCTCTACATTGTATGTGTGTGATGATTTTCCTTCTTTATGATATTTGCTGAAATTCACAAACATTTGATTGATTTTTTTAAGCTCCGCTGTAGACTTTATCGAGCGGAGCTTATCATATGAGTGATTGTCCGTTGGCGTCCGTCGTCGTCGTCCGTGTCAATGTTTTACTTTTTCGACTTCTTCTTGAAAAATACAAGCCTGAATGCTTTGATACTTGGTGTGTATGTACCTGGGGTAGACCTCTCTTAGATTTGTTCATTTCATGATGATATCTTCAATTCTCTAATTTTGGTGAATATTTTTGTAATTTTTAGTAAAAACTGATATTTTCGACTTCTTGTTAAAAACCGCAAGTCCAATTGCTTTGATATTGCATATACAGATACTACATGTGGACCTTTCTCAGATTTGTTCATTTCGTGATGATATCTTCAATTCTCTAAATTTTGGTGAATATTTTTGTAATTTTTGGTAAAAAGTGATATTTTTGACTTCTTGTTAAAAACCGCAAGTCCAATTGCTTTGATATTGCATATACAGATACTACATGTGGACCTTTCTCAGATTTGTTCATTTCGTGATGATATCTTAAATTCTCTAATTTTGGTGAATATTTTTGTCATTTTTGGTAAAAACTTATATTTTCGACTTCTTGTTAAAAACCAAAAGTCCAATTGCTTTGATATTACATACTGTAAAATGACTAATTTTCACTGGGTTTAAATTTCACTGATTTACCATTTCGGGCATATTCAGTGGGTTTTAAATTCACGGTTTCGTCATTTAGATAATGTGTTCTATGCTAAATTTTACATATTCACTGT